GACTCCAACCTTTTGGTGAGCAGCTGAGCATTTTAACTGTCTGTACCATCCAGGTAACCCACTGGCCTTTAATATCAATAAAAATAACAAATGGTGTACATTTTTAAAACTAACTTTCAGTCAAATGAATATTACATTTTGAAACAAATCTAATGTGGATGTTTGGAGGTTTTTTATTATTTATTATTATTAATTATTTTTTTTAATTACAAGCATCCTTCTAGAATAATAAAGATTTTCCCCCTTTAAGGAAGAATATGTGATCAAACTTTTCTATTTTAACATTGCCCTTTTGACATCTAGTCTTCAGAAAAGAAGAACAGGTTCTTGGAAAATAGGGAGACTGCCAAGTTAGGTTTTCCTATGGTCTGACATGTCACTTAGCCCTTGTAATATGACTGAAATTTTAACTAGACCACATGGGTTGTTTTCCTTTCATAATTAGACTATTGTGAAAAACAAAATGTCTTTGATCAGAGAAATGTGAGTTTTTCAGCCCGGAAATTGGAAACAATTACCATTCAAGAAGATTGGAGTAATTAATTCTACATTAAGAATATGTCAATATTGCATGGTGACTTAGTCCAAAAGCATACCATTTTCACTAATTGGAGAGCAGATGAATCTTTGGTGTTGTTTACGACATACTCAGCAGGAAATGTGACTTCCTAGCCTTGACCCAATAAAGTGCTCCGTTTATAAATAAATCATCTCTAGAGCTTAGGACACAGGGATCAGTCAGTAGCAGTTGACCTCCCTGAATCTCAGCAACTCTGGGTAATTAACTGTCAGTATTTTCTTGTTATGCTTTTAGCTTTCTTTTGAATCACTCATTGACAGAAAAGCCAGTCTTTGTTGCAAATAAATATGTAATGCATATTGGAAAACTCGACGGAACAATTTCAATGCTGTGTCATAATGGAATATTCGATGCTAATGCTGTCATTAGTAGGCGTTTTCAGTCACCATGGGATATAAGTGTATTTTCCATTAAAGGATTATATTAGTATGAAACCCATTTGTATTAGTATTGGCAATATACCTCAATAGCATCCATGTCATATGAGAATGAGAAAATGATTTCTTCTTTCTGATATTATTTAATGAATATGAACAAAAATAAATTACCACATTATTGTCTTTGGGGATATTTATTATAAAGATGGCTACGTTTTCAATTTGCTATGTGGTAAAATTTTAAGTGTGCAAATGGTTAATCCACTCAGCTACTACCTGAAAGGTTGGAGACACAAGTCCACCCAAAGGCACCTTTTAAGAAACTCCTGCTACTTTTGAAAAAATTCAGCCACTGAAGACCCCGTGGAGCACAACTCTACCCTGAAACACGTGGGGTCACCGAGAATTGGAATGGGAACCTGGGTAACTGGCAGCAGGTTACACATGACTAGTACTTCTAATCTCCTCGGAAGGCGATGGGGGCAATCTACTTCCATAGTGATACTGCCTCGGAAACCCAAGGAGAGGTCGCTATGAGTCGGAGCCGACTCACGGCACATAACAACAACAACAGTACTTCTAATATGAAGAGTTTTCACCTATCAGTGTAACAAGGGTCAACAGACATAAAATTCTTATCTAAATTGTATTAATTTTGAAGCACCCTCCATACCAATTAAAGCACATTGACTCTGTGATCATACCTCTCTATTCAATATCATTTTGTACTAAGAGATTTCGTTCACAGAGAAATTAATTCTTTCTAAGAAAAAAAAAAAAAGAAAAAGAAAAAGAAAGAAACTAGAGACAAAGTAGTTGTAAAAACTGGTTTATTTTTTAAAAAATAAATACAAAAATATAAATATAAAACATTAGCAGATAGAATTTGATGAAATGAAATTGCACAAACGTTTGTATACCAGGATGCATATCACACCTACTAACAACACATGTACTTTTTTCTTTTTTTTTAATTTAATGTACAGAACAGGATATACTTTAAAATTTTCCTTCACCTTTTCAAAGCTTCATTTTCAAGGGCAGGGCATGTATGTAACAGAAGCGGCTAGGTTGTGAGGTTGCTTACGGGAAAAACTATCCTGTTCATGTTTCTGAAATTATCTTTTATTTGCTAAGATGGACAACACTGAATTTCCATAGCTTTGGCTCTTGGAAGTGATTAAATAAAATGTCATATATATTCCATGAGACGTCCTACAGGAGATAATTAATGTAATTAATGGACAAATTAAAAAGTAAATGGAGAGGAAAAAGGTGCTGTGTGGCAGAAAAATCATCCTGAATCTCAAATATTGTGAAGTGGAGACGCTGTGGTAAAGTGACTTCCTCTTGTGTGAACAGAACAGTTTCCTAGGTTAACAGTCTTTGTCACTTTCTCCGCCACCGTACATTTCCGCCAGCTTATTAAACCGGGGGCCCCATTCTCGGAGGTAATCGTAGTTTTGGTCTCCATCAGTGGTACCTGATTCCAAGGAACTCAGAGACTCGGCTATGGAATCGTTCCCTTCGTAGGCATAGGTAGCCAGTGAGTCGTAGGGCGGTGCAGTGGGGTCAAGGTCGTGCTCCTTCAGCCTTTCGTTAATGAAATCCCGGACATCTGTGTTATCTGGGGCTGTAGGAGTCCTCCGGGGTATAAATAACGTTTCCGGAATAATGTCTCGCCGGAGCTTCTTGTCCTCAATCGCTGCAGGATTCCTCAGGGTGCCGATATCAAAGGCCTGGGTGTCCTCCTCTCCTCCGCCTTCGTCATTGTAGCTCACGATGTTGTCTCTGATATCTTCTTTAGACAAGATCAGAGGCTCTTTTTTCCGCTGTCTTTTCAGAGCTGCAAACAGTACTACTATAACTTGAAAGAAGAAAAGGAGATAAATTAGAGGTCCATTAAACATCACGTCAATGAGTGGTAGTCCTGGGACAAGGAGCTCTGCAGGCACAATCCCTAAGGCATTTGGCTGCTCACCAGAAGGTCAAACCCAGCGGCAGCTCCAGGGACGGCAGATGGGCAATCAAATTCCATAAAGATTTACCTCCTTAGAAACCCAAGGGGGATCGCTATGAGTTCGAATCGACATTCTGGCAGCAAGTTTGGTTTCCTTACTATTGTGAAGGGGTTGAAATTATTTAATTTTCCCATGGAAGCATAGCATTTAGATAATACTTATGGTTATTTCCAACTATCTGCTTTCCTGGTGGAGGGCTGTTGAAAGGCTGGAAAGAGTTGTTTATGAAGAGTGTGCTGCATTTTTCAAAAGGGTTATGGGACATTCCATAAATGGTATGACTTACAGTTAATCCACTTTCCTATGAATTTTGGAAGATGGTTTCTGATTACATAAGCACTCTTTATGCTTTGTATTAAAAACTGAGATAAGATGTTACATAAAAATAGACATAAATTGAACTCAACTTCAAATGAGGCAATTAAAAAGAGCAAAAATATCCCCTTGTTTTTCACATCCTGGTACAGCACTCAAAAGCACCGTACTTCCCAGAATATGAGGTATTAAAAATAAAAAACTCAAAAACTCACTGCCATCTACTTGATTCTGACTCATAGAGACCCCTCCTTAGGTTTCCGAGGCAGTACCACAATGGAAGTAGATTGTCCAGTCTTCTTTCTGAGGAGTGGCTAGTGGGTTTGAACCACCAGCCTTTTGATTAGCAGTCAAATTCTTTAGGCACTATGCCATCAGAACTCCTATATGAGGTATTGGTCTCTGCAAAATGGATCTACTGAACATTTACATAGATTTTTTTTTTAACTTTAATAATATAAGGCCTTAATTATTAGTTATTTAGTCATTAGATGTAACCATGAGATTTTCATGGTAATATATGCCTTCTAAGAGACAAAAAAGAAAAAAAATCAGATTATAGTTACAAATTTCACTTAGTGAATTTTCTGCATTTCTGTTACTTATGAAAGAGATCTGAAACCAAGAAATGTCTTAATGGCCACTAGCAGGTAAGCCAGCCCAACACAAGTGCAAGTGTCACTCAGAATGGACATTTCCAAATCCCAAAATACTATGATAATAACAAGGATTGTGTTAATAATAATAGTTTAATCATTATAGTGGGAGCTCTGGTAGCATAGTGCCTAAGGCACTTGGCTGCTAACCAGAGGGCTGGTGGTTCAA